GGCTCTTTCCGAATCCTAGGTATTCCCTGCCTTAACCCCTGGTAAACATTACCATCGTTCACCACTAATAAACATTCCTTGTTTTTATAAGAACTACAATTATGGCATTAAGCCTGACCATTTTGCAACAACAAAATACTATGGTATTCCGGGTTTGGTCCTTGGGGTTTGGCTAAACAAATATTGTTTGGAAAACTTCATCTCAATCATTTTGTTCACAAAAATACTTGGACACACTGACTGACATGCATAAATATAAAAATACAAAAAATGTAGTTCTCAAACGAGCCAACAAAGGGTTATGTGGCATCGTAGCAAGTTAAAATACTTCACAAAATTATCTGTCATAAAATTCTACTATAGGTTCAAGAAGACGTTAAGGGTCTAATGAGGGAATTCAATGAGAGATAAAAAAACGCAACAAAGTCAAACGCTATATTTTTTAATCTCAAGCGCTTGCTTGAGGAACCTCATTTTGTAACCAGTCTAAAGTTGGTTGCAGTTTTTTCGTCTCACCCTGTATATGGATACAAGAAGAAGTTGATCAATATTGTTTATCTTCGAACTTGATATAGGTGTAATACCAATATTACGATATGCAAAATTTCGACGAAATCTAACACTCTCTTTCGAGACTGGCCTTGAGCCAACCAGGCAGACGACATGGCTAAATCAACCTCAATCGTCCCGAGACACATTTCCTCAAATGTCCTTTACCCAAATTTTATATATATTTTTAATTCAATGAACCCAAATTTAACATTAAAGACCCATCTATATGTATTTTTTAACTGACCCTTGTGTTTCATTGTAACTTGCCACAAAGCATTTTTAACAGGCCACACTATATATTACAAGCTTACAAAAAAAAATTAAATATGTCTTCCCATTACATTAAACATTGTCCTTTTTGGTCAAAAGCTTTTAAAATTTTTAAATTGACATTGGTTTTGCTACTATAAATCAAAGTTGCACTTCACATTATCTCTTTCCGCTAAAGACCAATGATTAATAACGTCAATATAAATGAATAAATCCTCTAATCCCTGGCCAAACGGACTATTAGTCAATTATGAAATGACAGAGAAAATCCTGCCCACAATCCTGGCAGAACAGGCAGGCATAGTGAAAAACATTAGTAGTGCCTCGAGAAAATAACACCAACCACAATCAAACGATGTAATTTCCCACTGTCTATCTTTGTGTCGCAACGTTCGTTGTCTCTCATCTGACATAGAAAAAAAAAAAACGGAACACCACATAGCTTGGCACAAATTATCAGTTATTACTGCCATTTTAATTTGCCAACAACTAGCCAGAACAGCGAGACAAAGCAAACATAATTCAAGCCCGGACTTTGCGTGGCATTTTTCCCAGATACCATTTTACGATGATGGTTGATAGAATGACAAGTTTTTAATTTGAAGTAAATGAAGTGAAAATATCTGTAAACCACCACACATTCAATGAAATATCCTGTCGAACGGCAGCAGCAAAATCAAAAAGAGTCGCATAAATCTGGCAAATCTCTAATGATGATGCAAAGGAAAATGTGTAGCCACAGAAGATTGGTGTTTGTTGTTGTTGTCGTCATCGTTTGGTATTACACATAGCAGATACCACCGATGCCGAACAGTCAGTCCATGAACTTGTGGCTGTGGCTAAATCGATTAGGAAGTCAGAATGATAAATGACAAGTTTAAGAAATGTTTTTATCTCTGCCTGAGGCCAAACAGAGCGCACGCATCCCCAGCATAGTTCTTTTCACAATCGGTATGTGTGTTGAGGACTTAAGTGTTTGAGCAAGTGTTAAGATATTAACATTTTAAATATATTGAATTAAGCTAAAAGAAAATAATTCATTTCAAAAAAATTTTAAAATTCATATTGATTTATATTCATTTTCGTATTCCTGTAAATGTGAAACTGTTTACATTTATTGCCCAATTCAATTACTAAAATGCTCTTCAGAACCTTGAACTTATTTAATTTTCTCGAAAAACACGAGCTGATTTTATGTGGTAATATATTTTTTCTTCATTTTTAATGAAACCAAATATAAACAAACATTACAAACGGCCAATTACTACTACCATGGTAACGTAATTTAATATTGTCATAACATTTGGTAAACAAGTAGCAATGTTTTGTTCCGTAGGTAAACAACGACTAATATATCAACTACAAGTGCATAAGCCCTATTAAGTATGGAAGGGCACATAGGATTTGTTATATCGTTTGTAACTCATGAGATAATCAAAAGACCCTACAAAGAATATACATTCCTAATCACGGATTCGCATATGTCCCTTTGTTTATCCGTATGAGACACCACACTCTTACTTCTAAAGAAGTCGAACTACAAATTTCGCCCATAATTAAATTTTCTCCGAAAGTTTTCGGGCACAAAAAATGTTCAGGAATATCCCTCATAAAATGGTTCTATCCAATTTTTTATACCCTCCACCTTGAAGAGGAGGCTATATTATCTTTGTCATTTCGTTTGTAACCTCTTTAAATATTCGTCGTAGACCCCATAACGTATATATATATATATATATATATATATATATATATATATATATATATATATATATATATATATATATATATATATATATATTTATGATCAGCATTAAATTCTAAGTGGATTTAACGATGTCCGTTTGACTGTCCGTCTGTCTATTGAAATCACGATACAGCCCACATTATTTGACGTAGAGCTTTACAACTCGGCAGAACAATTTGTATTGTGTCTAGGATGTTTGGTATTGAAAATAAGATACATCGGTCTACGTTTTGGTTTAGTCCTCATATAAAGGTACCAAACGATATTCAGTATTTTTACGATTTTTGGCACTTTTTTACACGATTTGTCTAAAAATTGGTATTTGTAGATCATTATGGACTCTAGCTCTAGCGGCGAAACACTTTATTAATAGGTCCACGATTTTATATAGCTATCATATAATGGAATCTCCCGATATTCGGTATTTTGATGATTTTTCCACGGATTTGTCTAAGAATTATTATTTGTAGGTCATAATGGAAACATTGTATATATATAAGTCCACGTGTTTGTATAGCCCCCAAACAACAGTACTTCCTGATATTCTGTATCTTTATGATTTTCGCCATATTTTTTAAGGATTTGGGAAAAAATTGGTGTTTGTAGGTCATAATGGGTTTTAGCTCCGATGGCCAAACAATGTATGTATAGATCCACGTGTTTGTATAACCCCCATATTACGGTACTCCCGATATTCGGTATTTTGATGATTTTTGCCACATTTTTCCACGGATTTGTCTAAAAATTGGTATTTGTATTTCATAATGGGTTCTAGTTCCTGTGGCAGAAAATTGAATATTTAGGTCCACATTTTCCTATACCATACATATTACGATACCCACCGATATTCGGTATTTTGATAATCCTAGTTACATTTACCCACGACATTGTTTCAAATGTGGTATTTAAGAAGATTTTGTAGACGACCATCATTGAAGTATAAAATTGCCTATATATGTTCACGTTTTGGTATGCCCCCATATAACGGCCTCACCCACTTTAAGGTTTTTTGAAAAGTTTAACAGCGTTATCCTTAATATAGTTTAAAGTGGAACACGTTTGAACTCAGATACAGTTGAACAGTTGTTTTCTATACCCCAAAGTGGAGGGTATTAAAAGTTTGGCCGAACTTAATGTTTTTTACTAGTTTTTATTATTTCGAAGGTTCTTATCACATAAAAGCTCCCATTTAACTATTCCGCTCGAGTTTAGTTTTGCAGGGTTTTGACATTGTTTGATTTAGTTTGGGTTTCCCACTGAGCATGTCAACTCAGCAGAAAAAGAAATCCATATGGGTCTACTATTTTGTAGGTTTTAGCCATATTTTAACTGATGTTGCTGTAAATCGTCAGTTTTTGAAACTAGTGCTTGGGAAACGTCCTTGCTAAGATATGTATAATGAATGGTACCACCCGATATTGGATATTTTGATAATGTAATCCACAATTTTCCGCGGACTAAAGTTGATATTTGGAATATACAAAATATTAAGATCTATGCATGTACACGTTTTGGTGTAGCCTCCATATAGGGGGACCTCCGCGATTTCAATAATTTTAGGTAATTTTTTACGAAATTTTCCCAGCTGGAGTTCTTTATTGATTCCACCTTCTATAACAGACACTTGCCTGTCCTGGTTGATGTTTTCCTATACTCTCTTGGAAAGTTAAAGTTCGCACCAGACGGTGCCAAATGCCTGAAGGCTCCTGTTGGTGGTATGAGTGCAATTTAGTATTAGAGTCGCTTGTATTGTTGCCTGGTCATGTGGAGGTGGTTTTGGAAATGTGTACTAAAATTGTAGGAATTGTACTAAATTTGGTATTTAGTGAAGTGGATGTCACTGTCGGTGTCTATGGTTAAGTTACGGAGGTGGTTTTGGAAATGTTGGCTATACAGGGTGAGATGAAAAAACTACAACCAACTTCAGACTGCTGTCATTTCTAAGCCACTTCAGAATTAAAATGTGAATAAATCCTTTGTGTCTCGTAACATCGCTTGTTATAGTGATACTGGTAGCGTAGCCCGACGTCAAGGTAGTGGACGAAAGATAACAGCAACAACAGCAGAATTGGTTCGAAAAGTAAAAAAGCTACTTGATTGAAACACGCGTCGCAGTGGCCGAAAAATGCTCGTGAGCTCGGAGGTAAAGCCATTGAAATTCCAAAAAGTGTTAGAACTTACACCGCAACAGAAAGAAAATAGACTCGAAAAAGCTAAAGAGTTACTTCGCTTGGCCGAAAATGGTGAACTGCCGCAATTCACATTTTTACATTTTCATTTTTTAGTTTTATTGAATGGAAGCAAAAATGTTTGATTGGTATCCGGAGATTTTGGTGGCCATTGTGCGTTGGAATTGAAGCGAGGAACCTCATTTTGAAACCATTCTTGGGTGGCGCGTGCTGAGTCCATCGGTCTGCGGCCAAAATGTTTGCGTGCCCAAGGCTTAAATACACCCTCAACCCCAACGCATTTTCTTCGTCTACACTAAATTACAAGAAAATAGGTAAAAAATTCAGTTAGCTTCAAAACCATATTTTTGGCAGACAGTAGAGTGTCAACAACAGTATATAGCAACACTCTATAGAGACCAAACGACCAAACAACAGTAAAATACACAGCAAATTGCAAAAACAAAATCAAACAAATAAGACTGGCAGTATTTTATATCAATGACAAAATACAACTGAAACAACATGGTCTCAAAATGACCACAAAGGAGCAACCGAAAAAGAATGCTGAAAACAAAATTGAATTCAATGTAAAAATTACGAAAGAAACTGTAAATTCCATTGGATTGGAGTGGAGCTGCATCGAGGGTGCTGATGTGTACCGCATTGAAAAGCACCACAAGACAAAAGGATGGACCAAAGTTGATTGGTAATAATTGAAATTAAAAACGATACTAACGAATGCAATCATAAAAGTATCGGTTGCCATCAGCAAGCTGCCAACAACAACGACAACAACATCCATTCATATAGTTGTATCATTTCAGGACCAGCCACTGTTCCACAACCATAGACAATTTGGAAGAGAATTTTGGCTATCGTTTGAGAGTGAAAGGACTGTGGCTTCCATTGAATGCCACCGAATACGAGTTATTACGAACTTCCAATGAAATTGTGGTAAGTCAATGAATCCCATACAAGGCAAAGGATAGGCTTGTATTGTATTTAAATGCCTTTCGAAGACATCGGATAAGTCCTTGAAATGAAATTTAACGAAAATAGTGATAAGGATATTCAAAGAAGGATTGAGGAATAATGGTTGAAATACATGAGCCATATTCAAATGTAATACAGCCAGTTATATTTGGCAGCTCGAAGACAGAATTCGAGTCACACAAAACTATTTTACACATAATGTTAGAGTGATATATATAGTGACTTATTATGCTCTTCGCAGCTGATCAAGAATCAGTTACAAGAAGGAGACTCAAAGGTAATATACTATGTATATTATTAGTATATTACCTTTGAGTCTCCTTCTTGTAACTCATTCTTGATCAGCATAAGATTCTATATTGATGTAACCAATTCCACCCATCTGTTACTCAGTAGGAACTACTCTAGATTCCGAACGGACAAAATATTACTCAATTGTATTTTAGGTCCGTAAAAAGTTTGGTATCAAAAATTGGACATCAATCTGATGATTTATTATTGCCCCCAATATCATTCGATTTAAGGAATATTAGATTTCTTGTCATATTTTTCCACCGAACTTGCTCTTAATCTACAGATTGTGCTGCCAACGGACAAAAAACTTTTAACTATACCTTAGTTTGTTTTTTGGGTTGATATACAGGGTGAGATAAGAACTGCAACAAAGAAAGTACATTCTTCTCTTATTTGACGGACTTAACTGATATTAATTAAAGTCCACCTTATTTGATTTGATATCACATTTTTAAGAACATTAAAACGTGAAATCGGATGAATATATATGAAGATATATATGGGAGCCATATCCAAATCTGAACCGATCTCTAAAACATTTAGCAGTGCTATTTTTAAGCTGTATTTGGAACCAAATATGGTTGTTGTGGGTGTGAGGGACTTAAATACAAAATCGGATGTAATGTAAACTTTTTACAGGTAGCTTTGTCGCTATCACTTAATTGGGTCCGCCTGGTTTTTGTCCTTTTCTTACTATTTTTATATGTTTTCGGCTCTATTTCATGGGTTTAGCATTTATTCATTTTCTTAGGTATTAATCGACGCTGATATTTTCATTGAAAAATTATTTTTTTTTTTGGAGCATACTTTAAGGAGTTAGTAGTTTTTGACAAAAGATCTGTTCCTACAAAACACTATGCGACAAAACTATAAAAGTAGAGCTAAACAAGTAAAAAGCCCACTCATTACGAAACTTAAATACGAAGTTTGTTACAATTACGGTGAATAATGTCGCATACAACGTTTTTTGCCATAGCACAGTGGTCGCTGCCATTGGCCAAAATTCAAAATATGAAAATCAGATATTTATTGTCAAATGTGTACAAATGAACTCTTAAGGGGTTAAGCTTTTTAGAAAACATAATAATATTGGCTTCTATCTAACGGCCCACTTCAAAAATACCATCAAAAAAGAGAAAATTTAGTTAGTTGCTTTTTTCAGTGGGATCAGCGAAAAAGTGGAGTAAAAATAGAACTGTATTACAAAACAAGTAAGCAAAGGCTACAGTCGAGCGGGGCCGACCGTTGAATACCCTACAATACTATAATAAACGATACAGTTTATATAGGCGAGATACTCGAATAAATTCCACAATATATTGGGACAAATAATAAAAGAAAGCCATCAGGTTTCGTTCTCTAATTTTCGAATAATAGCAACTTAAACTAATTTGCTCATTTCCAATTTATTGGTAGATGTTGCACTTAAGTGGTCTTCCTAGATCTGGAACCAATATTTCCCGAAGACCTATAATCTCTCAGAAGTGGCAAAAGATTAACATTTATTATTGATTTTTGACTGAAACGCATCTATATGAGATACAGACATTTGATTATATTCTTCAACGAAATCAGCGTTAATGAAATAGTCAGAAGTGCGTCATTTCACACATTAAATATTTTTGGATGGCCATCCAAAACTATTTGGCTTTTGCAATGTCCGATAACCTCCATTCAAATGCGATCGGACGATAATTACGACTTGCTGACAATTTTGCATTTTTTTTGTCCATTTCAACCCCTAAATATATGGCGATTATCTCCAAAAAGAGTAGGCTTCTATTCTGACCCTCATCTTAAACCCATGCAAAATTTCGTAAGGATCGGGCCATAAATGCGATCTGTATATAATATCCTGATATCCTAACTACTTAGTTTTGTTAGTTGTAGAAATATTACCAAATGTTTAATTCAAAATGAAAATATGCCAAAAATATGACAAAATTAAAAAAATCTTAAACCCATGCAAAATTTCGTAAGGATCGGGCCATAAATGCGATCTGTATATAATATCCTGATATCCTAACTACTTAGTTTTGTTAGCTGTAGAAATATTACCAAATGTTTAATTCAAAATGAAAATATGCCAAAAAAATATGACAAAATTAAAAAATATGAGAAATATTACAAAATCAATATTTTCATCTTTAGAGAGATATTTGTATGCAATTTTTTAGACGTTTTTTCTTTCCTGCCAAGAGGCCATTTTGAATTAATGAGAACTGTCGAAATCAGTTCAGCCGTTCTCGACATATAAGAGATCTTTCAAGCATATCTTCTTTGATAGACATATATATCGCACATATTTTGCTATATATCCGATTTGATGGATGTTAACATCAATGTAAAGATCAGAAGTAACCTTGTCATGGCTTTTGATTTCGCCGGGATTTAAAATATTCGCGGTTTAATGAAAAATTTTGAATTTTTTCAACACAAAACATATGGTCTATATTACCCGCTAAATATTATCCGATGACAACCCAAATTGGTAGGCTTCTTCCCCGCCCTAAACTCTAGCTACATGCGCAATTCCGCGTCGATTGGTCTATAATTGCGACCTGTAGAGCAACTGCAAAATCAGGAATTTTTTCAGTTTTTGGTCCATTTCAACCCCTAAATATTATGCGATCATCTCCAAAAGAAATTCTGACCTTAACCCCACCTACATTCTAAATTTCGTGAAGATCGGACAATAATTGCGACCTGTAGAGTGATTACAAATTAACATGGACAGACGGACGGACGGGCATACATAGCTAGATCGACTCAGCTCGGCGAGCTAGGAAGATCCATATATACTTTCCTATATGGGAAACCAATATTTCGAGGTGTTACATAAATTCTGGCCCAATCAAACTTATAATACCCCCAACACATAGTGTTGTAGGGTATAATGACAAATCTTGGCATTATTATTAAAAAGCAAGATATTGACTTATTTTTAGTGCAGTTATTTGTGCGTTTAGTATATGTGTATAATAAGAAGATGTGAGTGTTCTGAGTTGCCTTTAAGATTAATCTTGAAAATAAAATTGGATTTCTGTTAAAGTTTTAATTGTTTTCCCCCCTGAATCCTCCAATGTGATTTTTTTCACGCCATTAGTAATGGTCCTAAGATTCTAAAGGTGCCAATTTAACTTTCAGATTTTGTCAGATGTGTACGTTATGCCCAATATACTGAAGTGACTTCGCTGCAATTTTGTCAGTTCTATGGTGCTAGTGACATAGAATATGTTTTTGTTGTTTGGGATTGATAAGGAGGTAATTAAGGGGTGTTCAATAATGTTGCAAGCATTGTCTTCTGGGTATAATATTAACGTCGAAAAATTTAAGGCCTTTGCACTGGACAATGCTAAAGAGTTAACAAATATATATCCATGGCACTATCTTCCAAGTTTCGACTAAATCATACCCGAAAAAAATTTCGTGTTTCTTATTAACCATCTTCTTCTGAGCTCTGACCCTTTTATAATGGGACAGCGAACGTTACCAAACAATAACCAGAAAAGAAAGTCTTAAAGTCGGGCGGGGCCGACTTCATGATACCCTACACCACTTTGCATATTTAGTAGAGCGTTATCTCCAATTTCAATAGGGCCTTAAGTCAAACAAATTATTTGTGGAAAATTTAACTTTGATTTTATTTTACATTAAATTGTTATTTTATTTTGTTTACAAAAAATAATCAAATTTGGACTTGATTTGTATAAAAAATGTGTCTATTTTAGAGGTACCTTTACAGGGGGACTCTACCTGAAGGCGGGCTGTTCCAAATAATTTTCAGTAAGATTATTTTTTAACTCCTTAGAACGTAAAATATCAAATAACATTACAATCTGGTGTAGAAATGAGACAAGAATTGGGCAAATAAACCTTATTCGAGAGGTGCGTTGTAAGGGGACCATGCCAAAACATGCACCGACCATATCCATTTTGTCACATTTTTTATTTTTATCACATCAAGGTACCATAACGAAAGATTCATATTGATATCTGCACTGAAAGTATTTTTGGCCGCTGTTCCCATACGACCTCGACCACTGTGCATAGGTTGTAGTACCCATTCAGATCTTCCAATACGAAATTTGAAACGATTCCGGTAAATAACGTTGTGGAAAATTGTCATTTTTGTCTTTGACATCATCCATCTAAAGTGATGCTATGTTGGGTTTTTTTTTTTTTTTGCACAAACCCACACAAAGTACGAATTTAACCTCGAAATGTGCTTTTAATATATATGAATTCCTGTGGTTCTGGTACGATTTAGAATCTTGACATCTTGTAGGACCTATATTAGAATTTTATGACAAATAATTATGTAGAATATATTTTACTACGATCCCGTTTAAAGGTTGTTTTTAACCATATTTTACAAAAGGACTAAAAAGACACTTTTTTTGCAGGAAACACATGGGATTGATATTATACTTTCACATTATTCTTTCGCACTATACGAAAGTATTTTCGAAATGAAAACAAAATTTTCTCTTGCAGGGCTATACACTATCCACCGAACCCACAACCATATGTCTTTTTCGAGCAATTAAAAAAGACCATCACTTTTTGGTTAAACGGATTTTACGTCGCCGTCCCTCTCTAATTGAATATCCCGGCCCCAACGGTTATTTGCCTCTGGCAAATGCTATTGCATTCGGTGACATGTGTGTTGTTGATTCTCTACTCTCGGCCGGAGCTAGTGTTCATGTCGGAAATCCAAATAATAACCGGACACCATTACACGTGAGTATGGGGACGATGAATAAGTAGTTGATTTTTTAACCATCCGCAAATTTAGTTAAGTGTGCTGCATTCTCATTGAGAAGATAATCACTAAAATTCGGGAAGGATAAGCGGAAAATTTGATACATATTCTAATTGAAATATTTTTGGTTTGGAGATCGTCTGGCGCCGGAGCTAGAACCCATTATGACTTACAAATACCAGTTTTAGACAAATCTGTGGAAATGTGTGGAATTTGGCAAAAATCATCAAAATTCTATCGGAAAGTAACATTATGTGGGGCTATATGAAAATGCGGACCAATTCAAACTATTTCGCCACACGAGCAAGAACCCATTATGACCTAGAAATTACCAAAATGTGGTAAAAATCATCAAAATACTCAATATAAGGAAGTACCGTTATATGTGGCTATACACAAACGTGGGTATATATGTACAATGTTCCGATACCGGAGCTAGAACCCAATACGAACTACAAATACCAATTTTTGGAAAAATCCGTAGAAAATGTAAAATGTACCAAAATACCGAATATCGGAAGGTACCTTTATATGATGGATATACCAAAACGTAGACCGATATATCTCATTTTCAATACCAACCATCCAAGACACAACACAAATTTATCTGTCAAATTTTGAATCTCTACATCGACAGTCTACGTCGTTTAATCGACTTAGAAAATTAAATATACCCTCATTTTCAAAGTGGAGGGTAAAATAATGAGTGAGTAGGTTAGATTGCAAGTAGATAGGATTGATAAAAATTCGTAATGGTAATTTTAGATGGGTAATATTTTTTTTAAATTGTTTTTGTATATTTTTTTACTATTTTTTTTTTGATCTTTAAAATATCGGGATATACTTTCCTCGCAACACTTTTTCAAAACCTATGCCACATGCATATAATGCAATGCCGTTAGTAGAGCTTTGTGTATCATATCGATACAACAAATTTCCGTTTTTAATTTCTTTCCCCTCTGTTGACGATTTTTATCTACCCATCCTCCATTTCGGACACTGCAGCAAGCATTCTACTATGGCCGAGTGGCGGTAGCACGTATGTTGTTAAACAAAAAAGCCGATATGGAAGCCAAGGATATGTACGGCTTAACTCCGTGCCATTTGGCAGTCGATGCAAATCAAGGTGAGATTTTGAAATTTGCACTTGAGAACGGTGCCAATGCGGAGTCCAAGGATGCCTGTGGCTGGACGCTGTTAATGCGAGCTGGTAAGTAAACATATGTGTTTTTCTACAAACACACGCACACACTCGTACACACGCTACCGCACTAACGACAATGAACTAACACGAAAACTGAGAAATTTTAATTAAAAACAGATAGAGATCAGAATCCAAAAAGTGATGGTCCATCGTGTTCGCTGAACATTTATGCAAATCCACCAGATTCATTGTTTGATTTCGGGTTATGATGGTGATTAAACTTTTTACATTTTGCCTGTTTATTTTCAGTTGTAATGGATTCTGATTTTACCATTCTAAAGTTGATCATGCAATTTGGAGCCGATTTGGAAAACCGAGATATGCGTAACTTAACTTGCATGGATTTGGCTCGTTTGTATAATAACAAAAAAGCTGAGGATTACTTTATCAAGCAATTAAGGTTGCAAGATATAAAAAGACACAAAGAAGAAAAAGGCGCGGATTAAATAAGTAAAATACAAATAACTGTATATCAAAAGTACAGCATGCTATAGTCGGCACGCAATGCATGCTTAGTGGACCTACTCTTAGCAAATAAACGTTTATATTGACCCATAGTTCCTTTTGATGATATTCATAAAATTATATTCTGAGTTTGAGGTAACTTTGTAGACCTAAAATTCGACGTAGCGTGCACAAATTTAACTTCTCCACTACAGTAAAATGTTTTGTACGTCCGTACTACCCAAATACGCCAGGTCAATATATATTTGAAATTTACGAACTAATGGCGTTGTAAAAATGGATAATTGTTATACCCTCCATCTTGGAAAGGGGGGTATAAAAAATTCGTCATTCTGTTTGTAACACCTCTAAAATTTGGCACCGTTGTTTGCTTTGTGTCTAGTATGGTTGATATTGTGATATATGAGATATATCGGTCCACGTTTTGGGAAAGCCCGCATATAACGGTACCTCCCGACATTCGGTATTTTGATGGTTTCAGCCACATTTTCTAATAGATTTGTATGACATTTGGTACATGTACTTCATAATGGGAATGGGTCCTTGTCATACTACATTTAACCACGAAATTATGTAAAATTTGGTGTTTGAGACTACCAATAGATTACAATCGTTGTATATTTCCAATTCGTTGCAAATTTGTCGAATAAATGTGTTTGGGGTAAATGATTTTTTCTGGCAGTGACGAACACGAAAGCTTTTATTTTTCTTTGTATTTTGAAGTTTTGCAACAAAAAATACGAAAGAAACCAATCGTTTTGAAGAGATATTGGGTGTATGTTACAGAATGACGCGAAATTTTAATTTTCATATGTATTGTTTCAGCGCATCACTTTTCTGCGGACGCATCTTACAGGACCACATTTTTCAAATATTCTCTTGACATTTTCACTTTGGTTTTACACTTTTTATACCCTACAACACTATGTGTTGGGGGTATTATAAGTTTGATTGGGCCAAAAATTATGTAACACCTCGAAATATTGGTTTCCCACATAGGAAAGTATATATGGATCTTCCTAGCTCGCCGAGCTGAGTCGATCTAGCTATGTATGTCCGTCCGTCTGTCCATGTTAATTTGTAATCACTCTACAGGTCGCAATTATGGCCCGATCTTCACGAAATTTAGAATGGAGGTGGGGCTAGGGTCAGAATAGAACCCTATTTTTTTGGAGATGATCGCATAATATTTAGGGGTTGAAATGGACCAAAAACTGAAAAAATTCCTGATTTTGCTGTGATCCCGGCGAAATCTCAAATAGACGAACATGTCAATTCTGATCGTTACGTAGATGCCGATAGTATTTATATCGGTTATATATAGCGAAATATATATTATAAAAGTCAAATTTTCCATTAAACGGCGAATATTTTTAATCCCGGCGAAATCTCAAATAGACGAACAAGTCAATTCTGATCGTTACGTAGATGCCGATAGTATTTATATCGGTTATATATAGCGAAATATATATATATAGCGAAATATATATATATATAAGTCGATCTAGGGGTCTCGATCCGTCCTTCTGTCTGGTTAGTGCGCACGATAACACTCGAACGGAGTGTCCGATTTGATCCCTAATTAGATCGAGTTCAGCCCACATTATTAAACGTAGTTTTCATTTGGCACAACAAATGTATCTACGATGTTTGGTATTGAAATTGAGATATATCGGTCCACGTTTTGGTTTAACCCTCATATAACGCTACCTCCCAATATTCGGTAATTTAATGATTTTGGTCACATTCTTTCACGGATTTGTTTAAATATTGGTAATTGTCATAATGGTCATAATGGGTTGTAGCTCCAGTCGCGAAATATTGTTTTTGTACAGACCCATATAACGGTACCTCCCGATGTTCGGTATTTTAATGGTTTTTGCCACATTTTTCCACGGATTTGTCTAAAAATGGGAATTTGTAGTTAGGAATGGGTTTTAGATCCGGTGGCAGAACATTGAATATTTAGGTAAATGGTGGAAGTATAAAATTGTCTAAAGAGGTTTCCGTTTTGGTATGGCCCCCATATAACGGCTTCACCCACTTTTTGATTTTTGAAAGGTTTAACAGCATTATACAAAGGGACTGGTATTTGTGGTTTAATGTACAACACGTTTGAGTTCAGAAACATTTATCTAAACATATTGTCTCCCACAGGTGGAGGGTGTCTACCCACAAGTGGAGGGTATTAATGTTTTTTTGCTTGCTTAATATTTAAACGCTGGTAGGGTATTGTCGATATTCACCATCTCACAACTCTGCTTAAATTTGGTAAAAACATTGCAATGTTCGAAGTTTGGGTCCCATTGGGTGTTATATGACGCACCAGCTGGCAAGAAAAACGGACCTTCTCCAAATATCGACAACCGTGAAATATTTTGTTTTAGATATTGGTTTGAATCTTGTCAAGTCTTTAACGAGAGATACAAAATAAAATTCGATGTCGATGTGAAAATGCTGCAGAAATTATTAAAACAGCGGGCATAAAAAAATCCATGACGACGCTGACCATATCAATTACCGCAAAAAAATATTTAAGGATAATAAGCTCCAAGTACACAGGTGTCGGTCATATAAATACTGGGCTTGATTTGAAAACAAGCACACCTCTTTAGTTTAGCGTGAGAAAAAGAAGAAACAAAGCCACATGTTTACAAAGTCTATTGCTATCTTCGTCGTTTTGGCCTCACTGTCTGTTGTCATTGCCCAATTTGGTGGTTCTATTACCTCAAATTGTCAAGGAGGAGCGGAAGTATTTCAGTGTTGCGAAGTCAATCCTGGAAATAACAGTTATGTATTGACACATCCCTAAATATTCGTGATGGACCCCATAAAGTACGTATATTCATTATTAGCATAACATTCTAATTAGATTTAACGATGTCCGTCTGTCTGTTTGTTGAAATCACGATAAACCCACTCGTAATTTTTTATGTTTCTTCCACATTCTCCGGCAATAATTGTATAACATTGGCTTACCGACGTTGCCAGGAATCCACAATTTGCACTTCACTGACCACTATCTCAGTTTCCGACAAAGTGGGCTGCAATTTAATATGTTGGATGAACATTTGCTATGCGAAAATAGGAGGCCCATGTTTTCATATAACCTCCACATAGATGTGTTGGTCGAAGTATTGGGCAATAGCTTGACTTTCTTCGCTTTTTAAATATATTTTCAAAAACAAAACAAAAATATTACAAAATGTACAATTCGGCATGGGCCGAACTTTGAATTCCCTTCACCATTTGTAACGAATCCGTTAAAAATGCTGTTAAAATCTTAAAAATACCGAATATAGCTCTTATATTAGGGTCTATACGACGACGTGGACCTGCAACATCAACATACAAAATATCGGGGGGTACCGTTATATGGGGGCTATACCATGACGTGGCATAGACAATTTTCTGCCTTAGGCTGTAGTATAAATTACGAACATCAAATACCAAATTTGAAACAATTTCGGTGAATAATGTCGCTAAAATGTATATTTCGAGGTGTAACAAACGGAATGACAAACTTAGTATACCCTCCATACTATGGAGGAGGGTATAAAAATCTTATGCGATTAAAAAATGACAAAAATTAAAAAACTGTATAACAGAATATAACAATGTTATTCATATTTTTATTGGCGATACGATTTCTTATCCTTTTCAAAAGGCCTTTCCAAATTGCGAATTGTCACAATCACTTCAGAAGTTTTTAGTTATAAGCGTAATAACTAACACAACTTTTTTCTATGTATAGATAGTATTTTAAATAACTCCTCTATAGACAATCGTAATTCCTATCTATACGATAATTACAAGAATATACTCGTGTGAAATTCAAGCTATGTTTTAGTCCCACAAAGAACACATTTTCAGCCAGATCTCTGCCGAATTCACAAAAGTTTTGGGCATACAGAGTGAAAAATAGTTTTTCGTTATTCAACTGATATTGGGCGAGAATTTGATTTTCTTGTTCAGTGATAAATCCATTGGTTGGTGACGACGAAATCCAATCCACGTAATCTTTCCACGCGCTGTAGAAACTCTTCAAATAGACAATGGTTAGAATGTGGGCCTCTTCCAAAGCATTTACAAACTGCGGCAATTTTAGACATTCGCCAATTTCGGCAAAGCGCTTCGGTTCATATTCACGCACTTCCGAACGATTATACACCGACATCCATAAATGGGTATTGAATGTGGGATAATAATATGAAATCGGCTTATGACGACTCTGATATAGATACAATGTCCAATCGAGCACAATGCGGTTAGTGCCTTGCGTATATGTTGAGTTTCGTTTACGAAAAACTTCCAAATTCTTAATGTTATGTTGATAACTTTCCCGATATATCTTCAGTGTTTCATATTCCTTGTTCAGTTTCACAGATCTGAAATACGTTTGCGGATATCTGAAACTGGTTTTCAATGTTGTCAGCTTCAACAAAGTTGGCTCTTGACGGAATCGTTTATTTTGATCAGCAACTCGTATAAACCGATCAAGTATATTCAGGAAGGTTTCAAGTTCCTCCGGTGCATTATCAAGATAGTTTTTACTTATTAAATAGCCGAAAAGAGGTTTAAAATATTCAAAACTTTCCCGATAACAATCGTCTAGAGATTTTATAGAGTTGCATGAGATAAAGAAATCCATTAACTTTTGTTTGGCCTCAAATTGTTCGGGATCCTCTTGGAGTTCGGTTAGAAGGTGTATAAGTTCGTTGTTGTCCGGTAGATGTCCTAAAATGAATAAAGAAAAATTGTTAGTTTTACCGATTGTCTTAGAAAATATTGTCATTGACAAAAGCCAATTATAAAGTGCATTGTACGAAGAAATACGAAATATGAAGTTAGAGAAAATGTAAAAAATAATGATAAAACCTCTTGTGTACTGCTTCATAAACCTAACCCTCTTACAACTATAGGGGCCTGCTATACATCGGCCGCACTTTTGTTTGGGGGTTATTACATTATTTGAGAGCTATAAAAGTACTTTGCAATACTTCAATTCCTACACTAACATATGCGTTATACAAGTTGACAATTTTCATACATATTCTGACAATAAAAATATTGAAAAAATTAAAAAAATATAAAAGAAACAAGTATTTTCTTTTTACCTTAAGCCGAATAATAAAAATATAAGAGATTCAGAAGAACCCTAATCGTACATTAACTTTATGTAGAGGTTCAAAGATACAGAGCTGGCATATATTTAATATAGTTCTTACATCATTTTTATATTGATTGAAGTAGGTTTATAAAACATTACTCAAATGTGTATTATGTCTGCAGGACTTTTGGTATTGAAAATGGGTCATGTAGGCCCACTTTTTGGTATAGCCCCCATATGACAGAAAATGAAATACAGCCTATGACAGAAAATTGTATGTGCAGGTCCTCGTCTTCGTATAGTCCCCATATAACGGTTCCTCCCTATATTCGGTATTTTGATGATTTTAGCTACATTTTTCACCGAATTTTGTTTTTATTCAAGTTTCGCATTTGAATATTATAATGGTTTATTACAAAAGCAGCCTATGCAGGTCCACGATGTCGTATAGACCCTCATATAACGGCTAAATTTGGTATTTCTAAGATTTTAACAGAATTTTTAACGAATTTTATTTTTTGAGATTTGCCAAAATCGTTCCAAATGGTGGTATTCAATCAGGGTATTCAAAGATCGGCGTGGCCGAACTTACAACTTTTTTACTTCTTAATACTCAAAATATACACTTTATTTAGTATGCCAGAATTTTTTTAATTAAAATTTCATACACAATTTTTACAACGTTGTTAGTAGACGCTAAGATATGGATAGCTTATTTATGTAACACGGACGTTCTTAAGATTTTATTATAGTGAGGAAGTTGAATATTTGTATACTCTATATCGAATTACTTCATATCCTAATGCTATGGTCCTACACTAATCTTAATTTCAAATTTCAAGATTACAGTCCCATCGGTTCATCCTCATTTAAATTACGCCAAATTTAGTACAAAACTACTTCATATCCTAATGCAATGATCCTATAGTAATCGTAATTCCAAATTTGAAGATTACAGTCCCATCGGTTCATCCTCATTTAAATTACGCCAAATTTAGTACATACCCCAATCATATACCTCAATAAAAATATTAACTTCGCATCCAAATTCTTGTTAAAAAAAATTAAAATTGTACCAAATTTAGTATTTCCAACACTTCCTGCATACCCCAATCCTACAACGCATTAGTAATCTTATTTTCAATTTACAGGATTCTAACTCTATTTTTTCTCGAAAAACTTAAATTGTACCAAATTTTAATAGTATTTAGTACACGAATTTCCAAAACTAACTCAGTTCTATAATGCAATTGCAAACTTATTTCCATATTTCGGCATCCTATCTCTATCGGTTTCACGGTTCGGTAAACAATTTCAAATTTCAGGATTCCAGCTCCATCCGTGCCTCCAAATTCAAATTGTTCCAAATTAAGAATCGTTTAGTACACATTTCCAAAACCACCTCTCTACATTGACCCTACTCCTCAATCTTGATTCCAATCCTAAATTTCAAGTTTCAAGCCACAACTGTTCACGTGATACGAAACGATATAGTGTTAATTTTCAAGAACCCTTTGGTACATTCATCATACACTGTATCAGTGACTCTCATGCCAAATGTTGTAAGAGCCGTTTCGTCTAGGCGTTGATGAATCATTAATTCGGTCAGGCAATTGTTTTACTATTTTATTAATATTCATACTGCAAATATTGCAGCTAAACCTATATTGTTGGCTATAGATGCAAGAGAATATATTTAGTCTCTAAATACTAAAATGTCCAAAAATATCCGTCAATATCGGCGGAAAATCTTCAAAAAGCCAACCAAAACTATATATTTAACAAGTAAGCAAAGGCTATAGTTGTGCGGGGCCGACCATGTGATACCCTACAACACTACATAATGGTAGAAGTCCCCTTATGTCCAAATCCATTTTGGAAGATTTCGCTTTTGAAATTGTGTCACAGACCTTTTTGACTAGGGACATTTGCCCAATACTTACGCAAACCGTCGTCCTGTTAGTTAAAGTTAAATATAATCCGATGGTCATCCAAAATGCTACACTTCTTCCCTGTCCTTTACTCTCTTCTCATGCAAAATTTCGTGTCGATTGGTTTCAATTGTGTGATAAGGAAAATTTTTCTGTTTTTGGTACATTTGAACCCCTAATTATTCTTCGATCATCTCCAAAAGCAAGAGGCCCCTCTGTATCTCTGAATTTAGACCCGTCTATATGATTTGCTTGTCTATGATATTTGGACATATTCGACAACGAAATCAGCACAAAAAGCCAATAGTTCGCCTTTTTTGGGTATTTTGGATATCGTCTGTAAGTTATTTCCAACGTCTCGGTGAAATGTAAATTTTTGTTTTTTTTTTCACAAAAGTAGTTGTCCATTTTACCCGCTGTCCTAAACTCTAACTTCATGCGAGATTTCGTGACCTTTGGTTTCTATTTGTGACCTTTATAACGGCTGCAAAATCAGAAAAATTTTTAGTTGTTGGTCCATTTAAACCCTAAATATATTGCGGCCATCTTTGAAAACAATAGGCCTAGCCATTCTGCGCCTAAATCTATCCTTATGACAATTTTCGTGAAGATCGGACGATAATTGCAATCTGTATATAATAACCCCAACCTGTGTTGTAAGGTGAAAAAATATTACAAAATGTACACTTGAATATTACAAGTCAAATTGAAAAAATCGCATGCGATAAAAAATATGAAAAAATGAAAAAAATGTCACAAAATACTACAAAATCTATATGAACATCATTATTGGCATCTTTTTATGCGATTTTTTTAGATTTTATACTTTTATGCCAAAAGAGCAATCTAAATTGACAAAATTGGTAAAAATCGCTCCAGCCATTCTGGAGATATAAGCACGAAATATTGGTTTCCCACATAGGAAAGTATATATGGATCTTCCTAGCTCGCCGAGCTGAGTCGATCTAGCTATGTATGTCCGTCTGTCCGTCTGTCCATGTTAATTTGTAATCACTCTACAGGTCGCAATTATGGCCCGATCTTCACGAAATTTAGATTGTAGGTGGGGTTAAGGTCAGAATAGAACCCTATTTTTTTGGAGATGATCGCATAATATTTAGGGGTTGAAATGGACCAAAAACTGAAAAATTTCATGATTTTGCAGTTGGTCTACAGGTCACAATTATAGACCAATAGAAGCGAAAGTTAGCATGGAGATAGAGCTTAGGGCTGGGCAGAAGCCTTCCAATTTTGATGGTCATCGGGTAATATTTAGTGGTTGAAATAGACCATAGCATTTGTGATAAATAAAAGTCAAATTTTCTATTAAACCGCGAATATTTTTAATGCCGGCGAAATCACAAATAGAGGAACAGGTCAATTCTGACAATTACGTAGTTGCCGATAGCAAAAATATCGGATATATAAAGCGAAATATATACAATGTATATATACAAAGGAAGGGGATGTTCGTTAGAATGCTTATATCTCCAGAATGGCTGGAGCGATTTTTACCAATTTTGTCAATAAATTGCTCTTTTGGCATTAAAGTATAAAATCTAAAAAAATCACATAAAAAGATGCCAATAACGATGTTCATATAGATTTTGTAGTACTTTGTGGCATTTTTTTTTTTTTCATTTTTTCATATTTTTTATCGCATGCGATTTTTCAATTTGACTTAAAATTTTGAAGTGTACATTTTGTAATGTTTTTTCACCTTACAACACATGTTGGGGATATTATATACAGATTGCAATTATCGTCCGATCCTCACGAAAATTGTCATAAGGATAGATTTAGGCGCAGAATGGCTAGGCCTATTGTTTTCAAAGATGGCCGCAATATATTTAGGGTTTAAATGGACCAACAACTAAAAATTTTTCTGATTTTGCAGCCGTTATAAAGGTTACAAATAGAAACCAAAGGTCATGAAATCTCGCATGAAGTTAGAGTTTAGGACAGCCGGTAGAATGGACAACTACTTTTGTAAAAAAAAAAAACAAAAATTTACATTTTACCGAGACGTTGAAAATAACTTACAGACGATATCCAAAATACCCAAAAAGGCGAACTATTGGCTTTTTGTGCTGATTTCGTTGTCGAATATGTCCAAATATCATAGACAAGCAAATCATATAGACGGGTCTAAATTCAGAGATGCAGAGGGGCCTCTTGCTTTTGGAGATGATCGAAGAATAATTAGGGGTTCAAATGTACCAAAAACAGAAAAATTTTCCTTATCACACAATTGAAACCAATCGACACGAAATTTTGCATGAGAAGAGAGTAAAGGACAGGGAAGAAGTGTAGCATTTTGGATGACCATCGGATTATATTTAACTTTAACTAACAGGACGACGGTTTGCGTAAGTATTGGGCAAATGTCCCTAGTCAAAAAGGTCTGTGACACAATTTCAAAAGAGAAATCTTCCAGAATGGATTTGGACATAAGGAGACTTCTACCATTATGTACTTGTTTTATAAATAAGGATATTATTTTTATACCCTCCACCACAGTATGGAGGGTATATTAAGTTTGTCATTCCGTTTGTAACACCTCGAAATATATATTTTAGACCCCATACTTGATCAGCATAACAGTCTATGTCGATTTATCAATGTCCGTTCGTCTGTCCGTCTATCCGTCTGTCCGTCTGTGGAAATCACTCTACCTTCCGAACGAAATGAAGTAGGTTGATAAAATTTTACTCAAATGTGTATTATGTCTGCAGGACTTTTGGTATTGAAAATGGGCCATGTAGGTCCATGTTTTGGTATAGCCCCAATATAACTATACCTCCCGAATTACCGGAATTATTTCAAATTTGGTATTTGAAGTTCGTAATAGATACTACAGCATAAAACAGAAAATGGGCCGTGTAGGTCAACGTCTTCGTATAGCCCCCAAATAACGGTACCCACCGATATTCCGTATTTTGATGATTTTAGCGACAATATTTACCTGAATTGTTTCGCATTTGAAGTTCGTAGTAGATACTACAGCCTATGACAGAAAATTGTCTGGTCAGGTTCCTTTATAACCCCCATGGTACCTCCCTATATTCGGTATTTTGAAGATTTTAGCTACAATATAAACAGATTTTTTTTCAAGTTTCGCATTTGAATATTCCAATAGCTTGTGACAGAGGTTGCCTATGCAGGTCCAAGTCGTCATATAGACCCTAATATACGGCTACATTCGGTATTTTTAAGATTTTAACAGAATTTTTAACGGGTTTTATTTTTTTGAAAATTGTTAAATTTGTACCAAATGGTGGTGGGTATTCAAAGTTCGGCCCGGCCGAACTTACAGTTTTTTTACTTTTTAATTAAAAAATCATGAATTTAATCTCAGGGATCAAGAAAATTTATGTCATATGCAATATATTACAACTACATCAAAAGCGTGGATATAGAAAAAATAAAAAGAAATAAGTTTAAAAAAAGCAAGAAAAGGCTATAGTCGGTGATACCCTACAACACTACAATACGTTAGAAGCTCCCTTATGTCCAAATCCTTTTCGGAAGATTTCACTTTTGAAATTATGTCACAGAACACTGCCTAGATATTGCCCGTAACATTTTGACCAAGGACATTTGCCCAATGTATACGCACTCCGTCGTCTTGCTAGTTTTTGTGGTCCATTTTACAGCTAAATACAATCCAATGGTCATCCGAAATGCTAGAAATCTTCCCTGTCCTTAACTCTCTTTTCAGGCGTGTCGATTAGCTTCAATTGTGTGCGATCATCTCCAAAAGGAGATGAGGCCCCTCTGTATCTCCGAATTTAGACTCATCTATATGATTTGCTTGTCTAGGATATTTGTCTATATTCGTCAACGAAATCAGCATAAAATATTGGTATTTTTTCACACAAAAGTAGTGGTCCATTGTACCCGCTGTCCTAAACTCTAAATTCATGCGAGATTTCGTGTTCTTTGGTTTCTAGTTGTGACCTTTATAACGGCTGCAAAATCAGGAACATTTTTAGTTATTGGTCCATTTCAACCCCTAAATATATTGTGGACATCTTTGAAAACAATAGGCCTAGCCATCCTGAGCCTAACCCTATCCTCGTAAAAATGTTTGTGAGGATCGGACGATAATTGCAATCTATACATAATAACCCCAACCTGTGTTGTATGGTGAAAAAAATATTACAAAAATATACACTTCAATATTAAAAGTCAAATTTAAATTGAAAAAAATCGCATGCGATAAAAAATATGAAATTATAAAAAATGTCACAAAATACTACAAAGTCTATATTAACATCATTATTGTCATATTTTTATGCGATTTTTTTTAGATTTTATTCTTTTATGCCAAGAGGGCACTCAGAATTAACAAAATTTGTCAAAATCGGTCCAGCTATTATTGAGATATACGCATTCTAGCTAACATCCCCTTCCTTTGCATATATACATTGTATATATATCGCTATATATCCGATATATTTACAATCGGGATCTACTTAACTGTCAAAATTGACCTTTTCGTCTATTTGTGATTTCGTCGGGATTAAAAATATTTGCGGTTTAATTGAAAATTTGACTTTTATTTAACACAAATGGTATTGTCTATTTCACTCACTAAATATTACCCGGTGACCATCAAAATTGGAAGGCTTCTTAGATCTAGCCCCATGCTAACTTCTGCGTCTATTGGTCAATAATTGCGATCTGTAGAGCAACTGCAAAATCAGGAAATTTCTTCAGGCTTCTATTCTAGCCCCACCTCCATTCGAAATTTCGTAAAGATCGGGCCACAATTGCGACCTATTGAGTGATTACAAATTAACATGGACAGACGGACGGATATACATAGCTAGATCGACTCAGCTCAGTGAGATAGAAAGATCCATATATACTTTCCTATGTGGGAGACTGACATGTCGAGCTGTTGCGTAATTTTTGGTCAAATCAAACTTATAATACCCCCCACACATAGCGTAGGGTATAAAAATTATAAACTCTGATCGTTCATGTTTTATAAATCAGTTCCACGAAAGCCGAGGTACAAATTTTGAAATGCGTTGTTCTCAAAAAAGAGGCACATGAATATGAAAAACTTTACGATGGTTTCAATGGTAGGCGTAGGTAAACTTTTAACACTAACAATTTTATAAAGTTCCACCCAATATTCCGTTACAAAATTCAGTTACAAAATTCTGTTACAAAATACCAACCTTCTCGACAAAATCGAATCTTTTGTATGACCGTATTACACAAATACATCTTTCCAATATAACTTTATTCCAATCAAAGATTAAAAAGCCCTTGGAAATATAAACTTGCATTGGAAAAATCTATCAAATGAATTGTGCAAATAAATTCCACTTGTAATTTAGTTACAGAAATAAAGGGGCGTTCATAAATTTACTCAGAATGTGATTATATGTAGATAACAAAGAGTAACTATAGGTCTACCTATTTTTCTTCTGTATATTATAAATACATACAGAAACAGATATTTCCACATATGTATACACGGACCACATTACCACACAAACTCATATTCGGTCTCAAATGTCTTCCTACTGTAACACAGTGTAGCCTAAAATTCTTGAAGGCAACTATTTGTTTTGGAGGTTATATCCCCCTGACTAAGTATGAATGGAATCCCTACTGCAAGAAATCCAATGCGACCAAAAGCCTTTTAATCGCTTAATACATCCCACGTATTTAACTTAATATAGCTTACCCATTACGGAAAACAATGGACGATTGCGACCGCACACATAATTAAAGTAACTTTCGCAGGCACTTTTATCCGCATCTATGGAATGTTCCAAGCGTATGGCGATGTTATGCAATTCCTGTACACGCAACTCCGACAAATAACTTTGACTGGGAATTTCATGGAGCGTTACTTGCGTTAAATTTAACAGCAACACCACAAAAAATAGACAAACTTTGAGCTTAACAGCAGCTGAATGGCGGTTAAGATATGCGAACTTTGCTCGATGGCATTGTTGATGTTGTTGACAAAGTAAAGAAAATAAACAACACATGATGGTGCAGTGCAGCTTAGTCGTCCCCTTTTTAAATAGGTCCTCTGCGCCACCAAAAGATCCTTTATTTAGGCCAGTCACTCAAGCGGAACAGAACCCACGAAAAAGTTGCTCCAAAATGGATGCCCGCCCAATAAAACTTGTTCTTTCTCTAAATTTGACTTTGATTTATTTGTTGAGTGTTGAGCATTGTCAGGGTATCTGGTTCGTCGTTTCTCGTCGAGTGTAGTTTGTTAACACCACTATCGTTGTCGTCTCCTCCGGGCATACGGGGCAGCAGCGTATGTAGTTCTATGGGACATATACGCACAACTTGAAAGGGTTTCACTTTTGCTAGCCTGCCTGCCTGCTGTTTGTTGTTCTATTTCTCGTACTTTTTGTTTTCTATTTTGCCATAATACTTTCGACAAAGTTAAACAAAAATGTGTTGTGGACGGGCCACTTTAGCGCTGTTTGCATAGGAATCTGAAGTAAACAAAAGCTTTAACACCACTGAAATGGGATCTATGGAATCTGAACTGAGACTAAGTGCTTCAATCTGAGTAAGAATTCCCCGCAATGCATTCAGTGCTGTATGTGTGTGTGGATGTTGATACCGGATGATAACATTATCAGTTCGAAAATATTATGAATCTCTCTCTAACAAGTTATATTGTAATATATGTACAAATGTATAAAGCGTATTTTCTTAAATATGTTGATATAATGTCTCATTTTCGTTTTCATTTTCAACTGATAAGAACATAGCTGGAATTTGATTTAGTATCGATTACACTCGAAATTATTTTCAATGTTAAATGCTTTAGAATATAGTCTCTTCAATACAAACAAGATAGAGAGTAGCAGTCGATTTTCCGGCAGATATATATTCTTACCAGATGGCCATTTAAAAACGCGGCCAAGAAGTATGCTAAAACCCCATCAAATTCAGAAAAATGAACCATTTAATTTAATTTTTGATTATTTTATGCACATGATAACCCCTCGTCTTCAATTCATGCACCAGCGGTATTTCAAAAGTCTTCACACCTATATTCTTTCGCAAAATCTTGAGTAACAGAAGCCCAATTGCTGCGAACGATGGCGAAGCTACTATACGATATTTCGTCAGTTAACACTTTACGTAAGCGTGTTGGTAGTTTCATGCCCAACAATGTGAATTTGGAGGTAATTTAGTCACTATAACCCGAATTGCCGATTCATTGCGTCGATTAAACTGGCCATAAAAAGAGAATTCAATGATTTTGAACTTTTTGGTGATCTGAATGGATTAAAATACATCAGTCTATGTGCGAGCAAATTACACAAAGAATATTTGTTACGGGTAGCACTGCATAGTGATGTTACTGTATTTTTAAATTTTGATATGGACATTTAAGGAGGGAGGGAGGGGATTGGATGAATCAAAATAGTGCCTATTAATATTTAATAAAGCTGAGTTAAGTTAATTACCATAAATTCCTTTCAACCTTAAAATTGAAAATTGCCGACCTACCCATGATTTTACATATTCGAAGAGGCGAAGTTTTTCTTAAATTCGCCCATGTTTTATGGATTATTACTTTAACCGTTTCCCGTTGCTGACCCGTGGTTTTAGTTTTGAAAGTTTGTATCTCCAATGAAGGGACATTAAAACATTTCTGCATCACTTACTTACTATTTAATTATACCCTACAACACTATGTGTTGGGGGTATTAAATGTTTAATTGAGCCAAAAATTATGTAACACCTCGAAATATTGGTTTCCCCACATAGGAAAGTTTATATGGATCTTCCTATTTCACCGAGATGAGTCGATCAAGCTATGTATGTCCGTCCGTCCGTCTGTCCATGTTAATTTCTAATCAAGCTACAGGGCGCATTTATGAACCGATCCCACGAAATTGAAAATGGAGGTGGGGTTAGGGTCAGAATAGAACCATATTGTTTTTGGAGATGATCGCACTATATTTAGGGAAGTAGGGAAATGGACCAAAACAGAAAACTTTCCTGATTTTGCAGTTGCTCTGTAGGCCACAATTATGAACCAATCGAAGCGAAGAAAATAGGAAAATGTCCACTAAACCGCGAATATTTTCAATCCCAGCCAAATCACAAATACATTAAAAGATCACTTCTGACCATTACAATGATGCTAATAGGCAAGAAATCGGATAAATAGCAAAATAGGTACAAATATATATGTAAAAGAACTAATCTTATTTATTCTGCTTATAAATCAAGAACCGGAATGATCTCTTGCCAGAAAACGATAATATGTAGAAAAATAATGAAAATATTGAATATCGGGAGGTACCGTTATATGGGGACTATACCAAAATATGGACCGATATATCTCATTTTCAAAACTAACCAATCTAGACATAATACAAAGTGCTCTGCTAAATTTTGGCGCTGTACGTCAAATAATGTGGCCTGTAGCGTGATTTCAACAGACGGACAGACAGACAGACCGACAGACAGACAGACAGACGGACATCGTTAAATCGACTTAGAATTTTATGCTGATAATGAATATATATTCCTTATGGGGTCTACGACGAATATTTAAAGATGTTACAAACGGAATGACAAAGTTAATATACCCTCCTTTCCAAGGTGGAGGGTATAAAAATATCCGAAAACTACCACTTAAATGAAAACCGTTATATGGGGACTATACGAAGACGTGGCCCTGCATACGAAATTTTTTGTCATAGGCTGTAGTGCGCATTACGAACTACAAATATAAAATTTGTTACAATTGCGGTGATAATGTCGCAAAAATCATGAAAATACGGAGTATCGGGAGGTACCGTCATATGGGGGCTATACGATGACGTGGACCTGCATACAAAAATTTTTTGTCATAGGCTGTAGTGCCCATTACGAACTACAAATATAAAATTTGTTACAATTAAGGTGATAATGTCGCTAAAATCATGAAAGTACTGAATATCGGGAGGTACCGTTATATGGGGCCATACGAAAACGTGGACCGAATTGGTCCATTTACGAACTTAACTTGCCTACTAGTAAACTATGCATGTATGCAAAATTTTAGCCATCTGTCTCAATTCGTTCGAAAGATAGCGTGATTACAACAGGGGTCTATTATGAATATTTCGAGGAGTTACAAACGGAATGACAAAGTTAATATACCCTCCCTAGAATTGTGGAGGGTATAACAAGTCAGCAAAGGCTATAGTCATGCGGTGCCGACCATTTGATAACCCACAACACTACAATGTGTTGGAAGCCCATTTATGTAAAACTCCTTTTGAAATTATGTTACCAGATGTTACCCATGGCATTTTGACTGGGAGCATTTGCCAATATTTCCGGAACATACCGTCGTGTTGTTAGGTATTCACATGATAGTTGTGGTCCATTTTACAGCTAAATATAATCCAATGGTCATCAAAAATGCTATATGTAACAAAAAAAAAATATTCACTTTTTATACTCTCCACCAATCTAGGGAGGGTATATTAACTTTGTCATTCCGTTTGTAATTCCTCGATATACTCATGTCAGATCCAAAAAAGTATATATATTCTTAATCAGCGTAAAATTCTAAGTCGATTTAGCCATGTCCGTCTGTCTATCTGTCTGTCTGTCTGTCCGTCTGTCTGTTGTAATCACGCCATCTTTCGAACGAATTGAGATAGAAGGCTAAAATTTTGCACATATGTTTATTTTTTCAGTAGGCAGGTTAAGTTCGTAAATGGGCCATGTAGGTTTTCATATAGCCCCCATATAACGGTACCTCCCTATATTCGGTATTTTTATGATTTTAGCGACATTATTAACCGGAATTGTTTACAATTTGATATTTGAAGTTCGTAATGGATACTACAGCCTAAGACAGAAAACTGTCTGTGCATGTCCACGTCTTCGTATAGCCCCTATATAACGGTACCTCCCTATATTCGGTATTTTGATGATTTTAGAGACATTATTAACCGGATTTGTTTAAAATTTGGTATTTGAAGTTCGAAATGGATACTACAGCCTGAGACAGAAAACTCTCTGTGCAGATCCACGTCTTCGTATAGCCCCCATATAACGGTATCTCCCTATATTCGGTATTTTGATGATTGTAGCGTCATTTTTACAGGAATTGTTTCAAATTACGTATTTAGAGTTCGTAATGGGAATTACAGTCTGTGACAGAAAATCGTGTATGCAGGTCCAGGTCTTCGTGTAAGCCACATACCAGTACCTCCCTATATTCGGTATTTTGACGAGTTTAGGTACAATACCCACCGAAATTGTTTGAGTATTTGAAGTTCGTAATGAATGCTACAGCCTATGGCAGAATGATTATGATAATTTTTGCTACATTATTCACCGTTTATTTCAAATTTCGAATTTGAATATGGCAATGACTTATGACAAACAATGTCCATGTAGGTCGTATAGACACCAATATAACGGCTATATTCGGTATTTTTAAAATGTTAACAAATTGTTTAAGGATTTTATCTCCAAATTCGTTCCAAATGGTGGAGGGTATTCAAAGTTCGGCTCGGCCGTACTTACTGCTTTTTAACTTGTTTTATTGTCATATCTATAAGCGATTTTTCTAAATGTTATCATTTTCTGGCAAGAGACCATTCCGAATTGATGAGAATTGTGAAAGTCAGTGAAGTTGTTCTTTAGTTATAAGCAGAACAAGTAAAAAACATTAAGTTCGTCCGGGTCGAACTTTTAATACCCTCCACCTTAGGGTAATGGAAACATTAGAACCAATTATGACCCACAAATACCAATTTTTAGACATATTCGTGGGAAAATGTGGCAAAAATCATCAAAATACCGAATATCGGGAGGTACCGTTATATGGGGGCTATACCAAAACGTGATCCTATACATGCAATGTTCGCCACCGCAGCTAGAACCCACTATGACCAACAAATACCAATTTTTAGACAAATCCAAGAAAAAATGGTGCAAAAATCATCAAAATACCGAATGACGGGAGGTACCGTTATATGGGGACTATACCAAATATTTGTCATTTTCAATACCAACCATCCTAGACACAATACAAATTATTCTGCTAAATTTTGACGCTCTACTTCAAATAATGAGTCCTGTATCATGAGTTCAACAGACAGACAGACAGACGGACATCGTTAAATCGTCTTAGAATTTTATGCTGATTATGAATATATATACATAATGGGGTCTACGACGAATATTTAGACATGTTACAAACGGAACGACAAAGTTAATATACCCTCCTTTCCAAGGTAGGGGGGTATAAAAAGTACAGTTACATATATATGTATTGCACCTATTTTGCTATATATCCCATATCCTGGCTATCAGCATCACTGTAATGGTCAGAAATGAACTTTAATGTAGTTTTGATTTCTCATGAGGGACTTAATACCCCAAATCAAATGAAACATATATATGGGGGCTATAACTGAACCGATTGTGATTGTACTTGCTTCTAGGCTGAATTCGGTCGAATGTGCCAAAATTCAGATTTTGGCACAATTAACCCGAAATCGTTTTATGATATATATGGGAGCTATATCTACATTTAAACCGATTCTCATCAATCTCAATAGGGTTCGTCTTTCGGCCAAAAAAATATTGTTTGGAAAATATCATCTCGATCGGATAATAAATGCGACCTGCATTTTGTTCACAAAAATACATGGACAGACAGACTGATTGAAATTCTTAAATCGACGCAGAAAGTGATTCTATAAAGATCGTCGGAAGTAACTATTTATCTCCCTTCCTTTTCCATGTTATGCACAAAGACTTACAGCCTGTTCCACGATGTCGAAAGAACACATTCGCACAACTTTTACACGACAAACAGCTGATTTCCGTTCCACTAAAATCCATCAGAACGAAAATTTGCACGAAAATCAAAGCGAAAGAAAACGTAAGCGTTTCAGTGTAATTTTGCGTTCCACTATCTTTTTTCTTTCGTACGCATGCGAACACAAATGTCAAAATCAGTCACTTGTGTGTTTGCTGTCGAATGATAAAAATTAAGGAAAATTGTTTTAACATAAACATTCCTTGATTGAAAATGGAAAGAAAAATGTAAGTAAAAATAATAAATGCAATTTAATCTGTGATCAACAAATATACATTTTTTTATTTTCTCAATTCCAGCACGAAAAAACTACACAGCTGCGGGCACTAGTTGAGTATATGGGGGAGAATCCTAAGTTCGGCAGAGGAGTGCCAATTTTTGGAAGCAGCAGGCAATCCCATGAAGACCACTGGAAGACACAAACCTAGAAAAAATCATTTTTTTATTATTTCAAAAGTGTAAAAATACAATCATACTTACTGGTTGTTAGGTACTTCAAATAAATTCGAAGCATCTCTTAAATGCCTCCGTGGCACAATTTGAACCTCCTCCTCATCATCCATAAAAAAAATAGGGCTACAGAAATATACATTTTTTTTCTTTTTTAAGAACACAAATAATCTGAACACAATCACTAGAAATTTTATTTTGTTTGTTTATTTACAATTTGTTTGTTTACAACTGAACTGTCAGTTGAGACAGAGCCACTGCTGCTTTTTCGCGTTTAAATTAGACATTTGGCGCTTTTTTTTGCCTTATTTCGCGATTAATTTTGCCAAAAAATATTTTGCAACACTGAATCACGTAAGGCTATGCGAAAGAAAGAACGAAAGTTAGTGGAACGCATTCTTATGCGAAAGTGAGTGAGTAGCCTTCGTTCGCACAAATTTTCTTTCGAGATCGTGGAACAGGCTGTTAATACCGCTACCACTATGTGGTGTTGGATATAATCATTGAGTTCTATAGATATATAATAGAAACGTACAATGGTATGCCATCAGTATTTTTTAATAAAATGAAAACAGTTTTATTAAATAAGTTTTGTCTTCAGTATACCGTCTATAGTAACATGACATGCAACAATTCAGGACTTACAGCCTGTTCCACGATGTCGAAAGAACACATTCGCACAACTTTTACACGACAAACAGCTGATTTCCGTTCCACTAAAATCCATCAGAACGAAAATTTGCACGAAAATCAAAGCGAAAGAAAACGTAAGCGTTTCAGTGTAATTTTGCGTTCCACTATCTTTTTTCTTTCGTACGCATGCGAACACAAATGTCAAAATCAGTCACTTGTGTGTTTGCTGTCGAATGATAAAAATTAAGGAAAATTGTTTTAACATAAACATTCCTTGATTGAAAATGGAAAGAAAAATGTAAGTAAAAATAATAAATGCAATTTAATCTGTGATCAACAAATATACATTTTTTTATTTTCTCAATTCCAGCACGAAAAAACTACACAGCTGCGGGCACTAGTTGAGTATATGGGGGAGAATCCTAAGTTCGGCAGAGGAGTGCCAATTTTTGGAAGCAGCAGGCAATCCCATGAAGACCACTGGAAGACACAAACCTAGAAAAAATCATTTTTTTATTATTTCAAAAGTGTAAAAATACAATCATACTTACTGGTTGTTAGGTACTTCAAATAAATTCGAAGCATCTCTTAAATGCCTCCGTGGCACAATTTGAACCTCCTCCTCATCATCCATAAAAAAAATAGGGCTACAGAAATATACATTTTTTTTCTTTTTTAAGAACACAAATAATCTGAACACAATCACTAGAAATTTTATTTTGTTTGTTTATTTACAATTTGTTTGTTTACAACTGAACTGTCAGTTGAGACAGAGCCACTGCTGCTTTTTCGCGTTTAAATTAGACATTTGGCGCTTTTTTTTTGCCTTATTTCGCGATTAATTTTGCCAAAAAATATTTTGCAACACTGAATCACGTAAGGCTATGCGAAAGAAAGAACGAAAGTTAGTGGAACGCATTCTTATGCGAAAGTGAGTGAGTAGCCTTCGTTCGCACAAATTTTCTTTCGAGATCGTGGAACAGGCTGTTACTCTATAAAATCACAATTCCGGCAATTATTTCTTGATAAATGCAGGGAAGCACCACACGTAAACAAAAATTTTGACATACAATATACTGAAACTAAAATTATGTACATGCGACATCTATTGGTAATTGTTATCATTACATAGCAAGAGCTTTAAAGCGTTTGTATTTTTATTTTAAGCTTTCAGAACATAATGAACATTAATGCTAAACTTCATTACTATAAACTACTTTATTATTGATGCAATCATGATGATATTAGTCTCCATTTGGTATAGCATTCATGGTATTCAGTCTATTCAATAGACTGAATGAGAGTGATGTACGAAAGAGCTGCTTTCAAAATCTAGGAAAAAGGAAAAACATTTATTAGAATTGGTATGGCAGATTTTTTCATGTCATGTAAATATGGTTAAATGTGTTTGTGGAAAATTTTTCTAAAAATTAGAATAAGTATATTATTGTTTGGTGAAAATTATGAGGTGTAAACACTTTTTGTTGGATTACTAAACACTTTATAATAACGAAAATAATAATTTCCCTGTATTACAAGTTAAATTAAAAATAATAATAATGTTCCTATTCGACAAATTGTGCAGAATAAATTTATGTATGACCCAATAACAATATTGGAACCTAAGCATAGAAACCCGGTTATAAATCACAAAACACAGGTGCATGTGCGTGTATGAGGGCTAAAAAAGGGCTACGGTGTTCATAAACAGAACTTCATGTTAACACTAATTACCGTCATAAAATTAGCCAGAGATGCTTCATAGAAGCCACCTCTGATAATGGCCTCTCGTTGTGAACGCAGCATCAACAGCCACAACATGCGACGATGTGTTGGCTTTAAATTATACCAATTGGATAGTTGCACTGAGACTCCGACCATTAGACTCTGCAAACAAAGATCGGCATAAGAAAAATGGTACACAATGAAGGCAAGACAGGTGCCCAAAATTATGCAGTGGTGTGGGTAAACAAGTTCTGGTTACTGCTTGTGGGAAAACGGAAATGTTAAACACAAAAACCGACGGCCCAGTCGGCCAACCAACGGATGTTGGCCAGCCGACCGATTTCATACTTACCTCATTTTTTAAAATTTCACCGCCATAGGAGTAGATGAAAAGTTGTAACAAAATCGACAGAAGAAACGTACAGTTGATTACAAAGACCAAAAAGGTATTGATGTGCTGCCGCATGAAATGGGCATTTGAGAAAATTAATAAATTACGACTTTATTAGGTCTTAATTAACTTCGTTTGCATAGATTCATTGATTGATTAGATCGATATCTTACCGTAACCATTTGATAGACTATAACGCAAACTTGCAATGATGTGATGAGAAATTGTCCGAACACAATGGGACTATAAATCTGACGGACCTCTTGATAAAGGTGTAGTATTAAATTATGATAACGAATGTAAAAGGAAATCTGCTTGTGAACGTCTTCATCATTTTGCTCAAAGCTTTTGCTCTGTATAAAGTGTTGCAATGTCTTGAGATGACCCACCAAATTGATGGTGAATGATATAAATAGACCATCGATGGCAATGGCATAGGTCATCACAGATAGAGTGACCAGGCCGGTATAAATGTAACAGACCTCATAACCAGGAGACGATTCGAAATCAAAGGGAAACCTTCAAATAAAATAAAGAACATTTGGGGTTGTTAAATTAATATTTTTTCACATAGGATCTGATGCCGAGTTATCTAATGGTCTTCAATATTCTACGTTAAAAAGCGTCGAAGGAAGCCCCGATTCTCTAACCATTTCTTTTACCATTTAAAATTCTACAAATTTTTGATAGGTTTTGACTTAACTAAAACAAAGAAGTAAAAAAGCAATAAGTTCGGCCGGGACGAACTTTGAAAGCCCTCCACCATTTGGAAAGAATTAGGAAATTTTCAAAAAAAAAAAAATCATTAAAATTTCTGTTAAAATCTTAAAAATATTGAAAATTAGAAGGTGAAGATATATGGGGGAATATAGGATATTGTGGACCTATATAGACAAATTTATGTCTGAGGGTAAAGAACTATTTGTGCAGAATTTCAGACAATTCCATTGAAAAATGTGGCTAAAATCATCAAAACACCGAATGTCGTGGGGTACCGTAATATGGGGGCTATACGATATCGTGAACTTATATAGACAATTATCTTCCAGGCAGCTCCTTGTGTGAATTTTCAGACTATTCTATTGGAAAATGTGGCTAAAATCATCAAAGCACCGAATATCGGGGGGTACCGTTATATGGGGATGTACGATATTGTGGACTCATATAGATAATTCTCTTCTCAATTGTTCACACAGAACTCCTGGTAGAATTTCCGATAATTCCGTTAAAAAATGTGTCTAAAATCATCAAAATACCGAATATCGTGGCATACCGTTACATGGGGGCTCTACGATATCGTGGGCCTATATAGATAATTCTCTTCCAGGGGATGAAGTACACACAAGGAACTCCTTGTGTAGAATTTCAGATAATTCAAAAATGTGGCTAAAATCATCAAAATACCGAATATCGGGGGGTAATGTTATATGGGATCTATACGATATCGTGGACCGATATATCCCATTTTCGAACTTGACCTGTCTGCAGACAAAAGACTGATCTGTGTATTTAGTTCGTCATTCCGTTGTAACTCATCGAAATAATAATTTGAGACATAACAAAGTATATATATTCTTGATCAGCGAAAAATTCTAAGCCCTGTCCGTCTCTTGTAATCACGCAAGAGTCAAAGCGAATAAAGATGGGGAGCACAGATCAGTCTTTTGTCTACTGGCGGGTCAGGTTCGAAAATAGGCTATATCGGTCCACGATATCGTATAAACCCAAATAACGGTAACCCACGATATTTCGATATTATGACAATTCGATATTATGACAATTTTGGGGGCAACAAAATTGTCTATGTAGGTACAGGTCTTCGTATAACCTCCATATAACGGCACCTCCCAATATTCGGTATTTTGATGACTTTAAGTACAATATTCACCGAAATAGTTTGAAATTTCGTATTTGAAGTTCCTATAGTTGAATCATATATCGGTCCACGATATCGTATAAACCCAAATAACGGTAACCCACGATATTTCGATATTATGACAATTCGATATTATGACAATTTTGGGGGCAACAAAATTGTCTATGTAGGTACAGGTCTTCGTATAACCTCCATATAACGGCACCTCCCAATATTCGGTATTTTGATGACTTTAAGTACAATATTCACCGAAATAGTTTGAAATTTCGTATTTGAAGTTCCTATAGTTGAATCAGCGCAGATCCATTTAGAGTTCGTAATGGCAACTACATTTTATGCCAGAAAATTGTCTATGCAGGTACAGGTCTTCATATAACCTCCATATAAAGGTACCTCCCAATATTCGATATTTTGATGACTATTTATTCATTGTTTTTTTTCAAGTTTCGTATTTGAATATTGTAATGGTTTATGACAGAAGTTGCCTATTCAGCTCCATGTCTTCGTACATACCCCAATATAGCGGCTATACTCTGTAATTTTAAGATTTTAAAAGAAGGCGTCGTATTCGTTTTGTAAAATCATAATCTCATATGAATCCCAAATGAAACTAAAGAAATATTTCAAAATCCAAAATTGATCATAGCCTTAGGATTTCTAAAAGTCGACAAGCCATTAATCTAATCACAGTTATGGTATATGTGTATAAAAATCATGAAATGTTTAGTTGTATATCATGACTTTAGGAGACTTCTCCCGAGGGAAAATGTAATTGTTCATTAGTATTGTTTTGTGTTAAAACATATGCAAATGGTTTCGATGTATGTAGGTTAGTAGTTTTGAAGGTCTTCCCTACATTTTCCAATCAAAAACATAAACAAAGACAAAAATCTTGCGGGAATTTCTGCAGATTTTAAACCATTTATATATTAAGCTGTACCATCGTTATCTGACTATGATGTCAAAATATTGGCATCAGTATATATGTCAGGAGTTTCAATTTTATGCATATGCGATCTTCGGAAATTGACCTTCATTACTAAAAATATTCGAGATAGGAAGCTAACTTTGATATTTTTGGTAAAAAAGTTCTACTTCATTTTACCCTCTTAATATAATCTGATCATCTAAAATTTTGACCTGAAGTGCGATTGTGATGTCTGAAAAAAATATTCATTAATATTATTCATTACGAACTTCCAATACCAAATTTGAAACATTTCCGGTGCATAATGTCGCTAAAATCATCAAAATACCGAATATCGGGAGGTGCGGTTACATGGGGGCTATACGAAGACGTGAACCTGCACAGACAATTTTCCGGTGAATAATGTCGCTTAAATCACCAAAATACCGAAAATAGGGAAGTACCATTATATGGGGCTATATCAAAACGTAGACCTACATGGTCCATTTTTAAAACCAAAAGTCCTGCAGACATAATATAAATTTGAGTAAAATTTTATCAACCTACTTCATTTCGTTCGAAAGCTAAAGTGATTTCCACAGACGCACAAGGGAATATCGCTAAATCGACATACAATTTTATGATGATCAAGAATATATATACTTTGTGGGATCTAAAATCTATATTTCGAGGTGTTACATACGGAATGACAAACTTAATATACCCTCCATACTATGGTGGAGGGTATAAAAGAATAACATTGGGTCACTAATTTGTTACACAGTCACATGTACAGGGTGAGATGAAAAACGTGCAACCAACTTCAGACTGCCATTCGTCCGACAGCTGTTAAAATTATTCCAGTGACAGCTCATTATATATGTTTTACAAGCGTACAAAAGCATTTTTGTGAGAACTTTCGAGAAAAAAAGGTATTCATGATGGAATTCAAGGGTGATAGTGTGATTTCTTTATATTTGGCTGGAAAACCAAAAGTGGCTATCGTTAGAGCACTTCAGCATTTAAATGTGAATAAATCTTTTATGTCTCGTACCATCGCTCGTTACGGTGATACTGTTGCGTAGCCCGACGTCAAGGAAGTGGACGGAAGAAAACAGCAAGTTTGTAAACAAACAAAATGATCGTGTTTACATGCCAAAGAGGTCAGCTGAAAATGTGCTCCTTCAGTTGGCCACCAGAACTCAAGCTTCGGCCATGGTGATGGCTCCGCCATAACAGCCGATAGTCGCTTTCAGCTCGTATTAATCGACAGTGGCATCAGAATAAATGCCGAATATTATCTCGAAAATATTCTGGAGGGTGTATTAAAGCCATGGGCAAGCAAACATTTGGTCGCAGACCTTGGACACTGAATGGTTACATAGTGAGGTTCTTCGCTTCATTTCCAGCGCACAATGGTCACCAAAATCTCCGGATACCAATCCGTTGGGCTATTGTGTCTGGAGTATTTTTGAAAGCAAGGTTGGCACTAAAAAATACCAAAATGTCGATCACCACAAGCAAGCGCATCGCCGGGAATGGGCCAAAATACGGCAGAGCAACATTCGGGCAGCGTGTGACGGTTTTATTGACCGTTTGAAGGCCATAACTCGTGCCAAAGGTGATCAATTCGAACAAATCTAAAATTATGCTAAAATTTGATGCTCTTTCCGACATTGTTTTGCTTTATTCAATAAAATTTAAAAAAGTAAAAATATGGCGTTTGACTTTGTTGCAGTTTTTTTTATCTCACCCTGTATATGCACAAATATGAGATGGGAATTAGTTTTCACTGAAGTTAAACATAACAAGGTAAATTACAGAAAAATCCAGAGCTGGATATTATTTTTTGAAAGGGGGTTAGCTTTATTTAATTTTACCATGGAAATACTTAGCTTTAAAAAGGCACTACCATTTATCCGTCTATGGCTGTAGGTTTCCTAATTGATATAGCCTCCACACAATAGGGCGTCTATTGATTTTCTGTATTTTTTTAGATTTTAGTCCATTTCCGTCCAAATTGTGAGGGGAGGCTACATTTGCAAATCTCAAATTTGTTATCCGTAGTCGACTTTGGGACTGATTCAAAAACTATGTATAACCTTTTAACTCGTATAGATTTTAAATCTAATAATAGATTTTAAGGATATGTCAAACTTCCAATATATACTCTTTATCTGTTTTAGCATTTATTTTCCTTACCTCATTGGCATTGGTAGCTCTAATTGTAATTCCGTATTACGTATTTTTGACCATACTATCTTTAATATTGGCGCCACCATAAAATACAGACCCGTTAAGCCAACAGAATTGCCATAAATATTAACCAAAATGATGGCGTAGCGATTAGATGTCTTCAAAATTGCCTTGCTTTCTTCCTCTTGTACTGTAAAAAATAAAACGTACTCAATCAAGCACAGACAAACCGAAATTAAATTTTCAAATGTCCATGAAATTTCACAAGCATATCTACCACACGAAATGCATGAAGTACTACTTCGAACAATATCCCAAACGAACGGCAACTCCTCGATGCATTAACTAAATGTGGCGATATGTGCCAGACATGCAATAAATCTCCACTGCATACTTACATTCATGGTACATAGATTCAAGTTTTTCCATCAATGCAGCAAAACGCCACTTGTAAAAAAGAAACGTGGTAATTTTTACCACAGTCAGGACATTGGTATAGCTAATACTCATGCTGGCCGTGGCCAACTGCAAATCGTCAATATAATAAATGGTATAATTCATTATGGGCCATTGGGCCGACACGACCAGCAATAGAACGCTGACATATTTAATGTTATGCCATTTCTTCAACAATTCTGATTTATCTCGCACAAAATTATGTCCCATTAAAAGCAAACACTGCCTCTGCTTTGCGAATAAGTCAAGCATAATGGAGATAAAGGTGGACAATCCGGTTTGTATTAGTGGCAAATGCTTAAGTTCTTGTATTTGGGAATGCGAAGTATTTGTGTTTTTGTAATAGCCAGCTAAGGACTACAAAGAATCCTGATTATTTCATTGTTATTTAAAGGAAAACTATTAAACGACCATAGACAGTGGTTCAGTAGATTGTTTGTTGTTCCACAAAAATATTCAATGGTGGGGATGGAAAATGTCATCAAGTCGTATTACACCGATATCGTAGGATGTCTTAATGCAATTCCAAATATATTCGTGTTCAGCATAAAACTGTAAATCGATTTAACGAAGCTCGTCCATAGAGATCAAGGTCTCAATATTGAAGACAAAAATGGAATCAGGGACGTATGCAGGGTTGGGACCGTTCTATCCGTTCTGTCGTTTTTATACCCTACACCACAAAGTTATAAGTGTAACATGATTTTGTGAATTAGTTTGTAACATAGAAAAGGAAGCGAGGTAGACTCATAGTTACTTTTGAGGATCTTCATAGAATCACTTTCTGGGACGATTTATGTATGTATGTCCGTTTGTCCATGTATTTTTGTGAACGGAATGCAGGTCGCATTTATTATCCGATTGAGATGAAATTTGCCAAATAACATTTCTTTGGCCCAAGGTTCAAATTTAGATATGGCTCCCATATATATCTTCAAGCGATTTCGGGTTAATTGTGCACTAATTTTAAGGATATATTTCTTAATTCGGTTATTGTGCAACTAATGGCTGATATTAGCCAATATGGAGTACATTTTGGGACGTACGTTTCCATTTGCCGGAAATCGGCTCCAATACATGCTTTTTAATATAATCCTCCTCGAAGTGATATCATGTACTCTTTAGCAATGCTATATGACATATAGCAGATAAAACTGACTACGTCAAATTTAGTGAAAATCGATTCAGAATTTGGCATGCCTCTCACAAACCAAATTATAACAGCTCTAAAGCCAAATGTTAATATGCCTTATCCAATTTTTCAGGTATAGACTTCAATTTGAGAGTTATAAATCTAAATAATATAGCACATTTATTAAAAAGTGTATATCAACTATTTATAATAGCAGAGGGCAGAATGATTTCAGAATAGACATGTTACTTACTCTTTACGCCCATTATCATAATACCTCAAATTGTGCGTTGGAGTGCTATGTTTTTGATCTATGTTCCAAATCCAATGGCGAGCAAACAATGTCCGCCTGTTTATCCACGATCCATTAAAATAACTATAGATCGGTGGAACTGGGAGGTACTGCTATATAGGAACTATACCAAAATATGTGCCTATGTTAAAGCTTTTCTGTAAGAATCGATTTCTGAGCCCAATCGATTGGAATATATGGTCAAGACCCTCGAAATTATTAAAATCAGAAGGTACCTTTATATGGGCGCTGCCCCAAAATGTTGACCTACATTAAAAACAAGTAAAAAAGCAGTAAGTTCGGCCGGGTCGAACTTTGTATACCTTCCACCATTTGAAACGAAATAGAAAATTTTCAAAAAAATAAAATCCTTAAAAAATTCAGTTAAAATCTTTAAAATACCTAATATCAGAAGGTGCCGATATATGGGGGATGTACGATATTGTGGACCTATATAGACAAATCTATGTCTGGGGATAAAAATACTCACAACGAACTCCTTTTGTAGATTTTCAGACAATTCCGTTGAAAAATGTGGCTAAAAACGTCAAAATACCTAATGTCGAAGAGTTACCTTTATATTGGGGCTATACGATATCGTGGACTTATATAGACAATTCTCATTCAGGGAGTAAAGTACTCACAATTAACTCCTTGTGTGGATTTTCAGACAGTTCCGTTGAAAAATGTATCTAAAGATCATCAAAATACCGAATATCGTGGACCTATATGGACTATTCTCTTTCAAGGGTAAAGTGACCAAAAAAGAACTCCTAGTGTAGAATTTCAGACAATTTAGTAGAAAAATGTGGCTAAAATCATCAAAATACCGAATATCGGGGGGTACCGTTATATGGGGGCTATACAATATCGTGGACCTATATAGACAATTCTCTTTCAGGGGATAAAGCACTCAGAATGGACTCCTTGTGTGGAATTTCAGACAATTCCATTAATAAATGCGGCTAAAATCATCAAAATACCGAATATCGGGGGGTACCGTTATATGGGGGCTATACGATATCGTGGACCGATATAGCCCATCTTCGAACTTGACCTGCCTGCAGACAAAAGACAGATCTGTCAAAATTTTAGCTCCCTATCTTAATTAGTTTTGACTGTAGCGTGATTACAACAGACGGACGGACATGGCTAAATCGTCTTAGAATTTTACGGTGATCAAGAATATATATACTTTGTTGGGTCTAAAATGATTATTTCGATAAGTTACAAACGGATTGACGAACTTAATATACCCTCCATACTATGTATGGTGGAGGGTATAATAAATCTATCCCCTTAGAAGCCAAGATGCCAAATAAGGGCCACATCGATTGAAAAGTGTGGCCAAGGCCCCGGTAATAACTGAAATCTAGGGATTCCTTCATATGAGTGTAGTACCAAAAATGGACCTATACTTGTAATTTTTTGAAATGATGGATGGAGGGTATATTATGTTTGACATTCCGTTTGTAAAAAAGTATATATATTTTTGATCAGCATAAAATGTCGACTTAAAGAAGTACGTCCGTCTCACTGTATGTCCATCTGTCACTCTAGCTTTTGAATGAATTGAAGTAGCTTAAAAAAATTTTACTGAGGTATGTGTTTGGACTGCAGGATTTTGATATTGCAAATGAACTAGGTCCACGTCTTGGTATAGCCCCCGTATAACGGTACCTCCCTATATTGGTAATTTTGGTGACTTTAAGGATATTATTCACTGGAATCGTTCAAATTTCGTATTTGTAGTTCGTTATGAGTACTACAACCTGTGACAGAAAATTGCTTAGGTAGGTCAGGTCTTCCTATAGACCCCATATAACGGGACCTCCCTATATTCGGCATTTTGATGATTTTAACGATATTATTCACCGGAATCGTTGCAAATTTCGTATTTGTAGTTCGTTATGAGTACTACAACCTGTGACAGAAAATTGCCTATGCAGGTCCAGGTCTTCGTATAGCCTCCATATAAGTGTGCCTCCCTATACCCGGTATTTTTAAAATTTTAACAGCAAATATTTCCAAATGGTGGAGTGTATTCAAAGTTCGACGCGACCGAACTTATTGTTTTTTATTTGTTAAAGGATCAAATTCCCAAAATTAGTTTGAAAATGAGCAAAAGCTATAGTCGAGCGAGGCCGAAGATATTAAAACAATACAAACTATAGCATATTGAAAAGCCCACTTACGCCCAAATCTATCCATATTTACCCTATATTTACGCTCTTTGACGTATATTAAAAGCAATTCTACACAAAAGTTGTGATATATTTTACTCGCTAGATATAATCCAATATTCATATAAATGCTTCTACCCTGTCCTAAACTCTAACTTCATATAAACTTTTGTATCGATTGGTTTTTAATTGTGACCTGTAGAGCGACGACCAAATCAAGAAATTTTAAATTGTTGGTCAATTGGAACCCCTAAATGTACATCGTCAAAAACAAAAGGCTTCAATTCTGACCCTAACAATAGGAACAATAATTTTATGGATAAATTTCCATTTATTTCGTTTTTATACCCTCCACCATACTATGGACGGTATATTAAATTTGTCATTCCGTTTGTAACTCCTCGAAATACTCATGTCAGACCCAACAAAGTATATATATTCTTGATCATCGTAAAATTCTAAGACGATTTAGCCATGTCCGTCTGTCTGTCCGTCTGTCTGGCTGTTGTAATCACGCTATCTTTCGAAAAAATCGAGATAGATTTGCACACATGTATATTTTTGCCAGTAGGCAGGTTAAGTTCGTAAATGGGCCATGTAGGTCCAAGTTATCATATATCCCCCATATAACGGTACCTCCCGATATTCGGTATTTTGATGATTTTAGCGGCATTATTCACCGGAATTGTTTCAAATTTGGCATTTGAAGTTCGTAATGGATACTACAGTCTAAGACAGAAAATTATCTGTGCAGGTCCACGTCTTCGTGTAGCCCCCATATAACGGTACCCCCGATATTCGGAATTTTGATGATTTTAGCGACATTGTTTACCAGAAATTTGGTATTTGAAGTTCGTAATGGATACTACATCCCAAGTAAAAAAATGAGCCATGTAGGTCCACGTCTTCATATAGCCCCCATATAACGGTACCCCCCGATATTCGGTATTTTGATGATTTTAGCGACATTATTTAGCGGAATCGTTCCAAATTTGGTATTTGAAGTTCGTAATAGATACTGCAGCATAGAACAGAAAATGGACCATGTAGGTCCACGTCTTCGTATAGCCCCCATATACCGTACCCCCCGACATTCGGTATTTTGATGATTTTAGCGTCATTATTTACCGGGATTGTTTCAAATTTCGCATGTGAAGTTCGTAATGGATACTTCAGCCCATGCCAGAAAATTGTCTGTGCAGGTCCACGTCTTCGTATAGCCCCCATATAACGGTACCCCCCCCCCCATATTCGGTATTTTGAGGATTTTAGCTACATTATAAACAGATGTTTCTTCAAGTTTCGCATTAAAATATTGTAATAGCTTATGACAAAAGTTGCCTATGCAGGTCCACGTCGTCGTATAAGCATTCGGTATTTTTAAGATTTTAACAGATTTTATTTTTTGGAAATTGCCAAATTTGTTCCAAATGGTGGAGGGTATTAAATGTTCGGCCCGGCCAAACTTACAGCTTTTCTACTTGTTTATTCATTAAATGTTGTACTACCAAGAGCTTTCATTTATTTGTCTTTCAGTCCCGAAAATATGGTGTTTAGCGTGACTAGGCCGTATTTTTAAGACCTCTCAACCACTGTTTTCAACATTCTTATAAAATCAGCACTGATTGATACTTGTTGTTAGGATACCTAGCATTTGCATGTGGTTCATAACTGTAAATTATTATGACATACAATTAAGGTCTTATTGGTGCTTTAATTATCCGCCTGTTTATAGATT